AAATGGAAAAGTTTGTGGAGGTTAGCATGCCGTGGTTTGTGAGACCCCACAGACAACCACAAACCTCCATTTTCCTGGTTCATGCCCATCCCTAGCTAAGAGATTAGCAGCAACTGTAATAGTTTCAGATTTTAATTATGTGAGAATATTCATTATAATCCCTTCTAGAAGGTAAAATAAAGCCCTCCCCCCCATTGTAATAGGCATTGCACATATCCATAGTAAGAATGGGAAAACCCCACCATAACATGATTCTTTACATTCTAAATAGTTCTGATTATGGACTATGGGAACTTTAAAAATGAAGTGCCATGTAAAGTTCTGACTGAGTGACAGGAAAACTTGGACTCAGTAATGTAGCAATAGCAATATAGCAATAGAAGGATTGTCCATGCTGTTGAAATTTCATTTCTTTCGATTGGTTAGAAGATACACTTTATTGACTCCCAGTCACTTTAAGAAAGCAGGTAATAGACAAAGGATCAGCAAAGGTTCCATCAACCCAAGATTATGAATGTCTTACCTCTATGATTAAGTCTGAAAACCTTATCGAAAAACCTGTATTTATAGTTTCCTAATGTTTGAAAAGTACCAAAATAGTCTCAATAATGCATAACAATTTTTGGTACATTATTAAAAGTTAGCAGTGTAATAGATAGAAGTCCTAAGCAATCTCTCTCTTCTTTTTCAACTTTCTATTTTTACCTTTCCACTGCAGTACTATCTGGAAGTCCTCATGTGCCACAATTATTAGAGTCTTGGATTAGGATCTAGGAAATCACTGCTCTGCCATGAAGCTTGCTGGGTGACCTTGGACTAGTCACTCACTTTGTCTAACATATCCCACAGGCTTGTTATGAGGATAAAATACGGCAAAACTGTATATGCCACCTTGAACCCCCCTAGGGAAGGACAGGATAAAATTATGCTAAACCAGAGGGGTCCTCAATGTGGTGCCTGTGGGGGCCATGGTACGCATTGACCCCTTTCCTAGTTTATGCCAAGTGTTTTTAGAACGTGGGCATGGCCAGCAGGGCTTCTGATTGGCCACTGAAAATCTGATTGGCTTTGCAGATTAAAGTCTCAGCAGCAGCTACCACCAGTGTTGGTTTTATTCTCCTTCTCTTTCCTAGTGTATTTTTAAAAAATTACTCTTGTCCCCTTTGGTGCGATAGAACTTAAGAATAGCATTGGCTGTTCTTTCACCTTGGGAGGCAACATACTGTATATGGGCTTTCCTAGCCCCATTTGATTGAAGGGCCATACCTAAGTATTTAAAGCAGGAAACCTGCTCTAATGAGTGCCCATTTACAGACCAGATTCTTTTCTTTTTTCTGGTCCCGAAGGCCATAACCTTGTTTTTTTTGAAATTTATTGTTAGTTCCTTATTGTTATAAAAGTCTGCAAAGTTACTGAGAGCTCTTCTAAGGCCAACTGGTGTTCTAGCTAAGATGACAGCATCGTCGGCATACAGTAAGCTAGACACATGCTGTTGTTGAAGTTTTGGTGGATGTAAACTGGGGGAGTCCAAGTAACTTACTATATCATTAATATATAGATTAATGTATATGTGCCAGCTGCCCAAAAACTCTTTCAAGCAAAGGCAGTTGGACAGATGCTCTATGGCACTTTTATTGGGCCTCCTTCCTCTAGTTTTGCCCCCTTAGAGCGAGTTCAGTCCAGATTTCTCAGAGCAGTTCTTCAGGTCCTAAGGTGTGTATCGAATACACTGATCTGTCTAGAGACAGGTGCTATATCAGTGGAAGCCAAAATTACTTTAGCTTCACTCCAGTATTGGCTTAAACTAAATTTTCATCTTCAGGGACTAACCCACTTGTTACTCTCAGACAACTTTCAATCCAAATGGCTGAGAGCAGTTCATAATAAATTATATGAGCTTGGTTTTCCCCCCCAAGCGATTTTGAGTATGCATTGGGATGTAGCAAAATCAGCCCTAAAACAGAGAATGATGGACATGGAGAGACAGACATATCTTGGTAGATGTCCTAAGTTTAGAGCCCCAGATTCTGTCAAATATCACTTGCAACCCATGTCCTATTTATCACAGCTTGATACTCATAAGTTTAGGAAAACCTTCACATTAGCCAGATGTGAGGCTTTCCCCTCCGCGATGCTTGAGGGCAGATTCAAAAGGATCCACACTGAGTATATACTTTGTCGATGCGGCTCAGGAGAGACAGAAACTATTGAGCACATGATGCTCAGATGTAACTGGTATAATAAGATCCATGACAAATATATTACTCCTCTTATAACAGATATGGTGGGACAATCAGGTGCTGAGAAATGTAACCGATTGTTAATTGATGGGAACCGGACAATTACCGAAACTGTGGCAAAATTTTGGGTAGCATGCTACTGCATCCGAAATACACAATCAAATATATAATAATAGTTGCCTAATAGTCTCTATTTTATGTCCTTCTTTTATTTTATTACACTCAACTGTATTTTTATAGAGTTTTATTTTACTGTCCTAAATTCAGTTATATGAATGTTATGAATGTTATATTTAAGCATGTGTGTTCTATGGCTTGTTGCCGTAATAAATGCCTGACTGACTGACTGACTGACTTACTTACTTACTTACTCTTGTCCCCCACATTTGGGCTTCCTGTGTGTGTGTCTGCATCAAATAGTGGTCATTTTGTGGTTGTGCCCCCCCATGCTAGACAGTTGAGTCACCAAGTGTTCTCGTTGAATATACCTGTCCAAATGTCTTTCTCTATAACCTCCCTATACACAGTCTTCCCATGTACAGTTTCAGATGCACTTCACCTGAATTCCTGGAGAATGTGATCCTAAATTTCTGCTTTATTATTTATTTATGTTTATTGTTTATTTTGCAAAATTTATATCCTGCCTTTCTGCCCTCACAAGGGCCACCAAATTGGCTAAGAAATTAAAATCTTTTCTGTTACTCTGTCCACAATCCATTTAAACAATACTCACTGGAAATAAGAGAAGATTAGCCGGATATTTTGATCCACATCTTTTTCTATATACCACGTGCAGGTCTCATTTGCATTGACTTCAATTGGCAAGGCTTTGTTAGGCTGACTCAGAAGTCCACCACATTCGGTTCTTCCTGGTTTTAGAAAATCAGCAGTCCTTGGTTAATATTAAGATTCTATGGATGAATTTGACCTAAATATTCAGAGAACGGCAGCTAAAAAAACGTACTGATTAACTTCACAGAATGTTTAAAATAATCACTTAATATCATGTTACTGTATCTACTTTGGACTAGAAAGTATAATGACAGCACTTGCATCCATGCAAATTCTCTCCATAGACTGTTGGAGCCAGTTATAATTTAAGCCAAGTACTATTTCTTATTTTAAAGACAACTGTAGCCAAATGTGTTACTTCAAAGTTTTCAGCTTTTGACCTGTCCAGAAAAAGTTAGCTATTCTTAAATTCCACTGAAATGACTAGGACTTATATTGCTCATCGCTAATTTACTCCATTGATTTAAGTGGGAATTAGGCATGACTTACCTCACTGGAGGGTAATCAAAGAGTTACAATACCAAGGTTTCTGATATTGCACAGATGCAACACATACATGACAGCATCAAACTATAAAGCAACTATAGTGATTTAGCAGCCATCACACATTAATGTTATAACATTTTCTATTGTTTTTTGTATTCTTCCATACCTTGGAATACTGCCAGGTTATTTTCTGCAAGAGTCCAGCCAAAGAAAAGCACCAGGAGAGGGTATTGTTGGAATACAGGCATTTTGGTAAATAGTCGATTCTCACATGTTCTGGCCTTTTTATATTTCTACCGATTTCACAATAATTTCATCATCATCTCAGTCCACGTGGTCTCACGATAGTGTGTGTAATCTTTTAGATTTTCCCAGTGCTTTCCACATAAAGGGGAGATACATGTGAGAAAGTTGCAGGTGTTACATGCTGGACTGAGTGTGCTATTTGTTTGGGGAACACCAAATGAAATTGCTCATACTAGCCTATTTGAAACCAAAGTCACAAATGCCACATGCCTGGACAGACCATATTACTCAAAACCTAAAGAGTTATGCCAATGCATAAATTTCCATTTTATGGACTGTTCACATTAAATTAGACATTCTTTTATTTTGTATAACATCCACAGAATGCTTTATTACAATGAATCAAAATTAATGCCATCTAACTAGCTATCATAGTAGACTTCTCTAGAACTGAGAAGGGGTTTTTTTGTTGTTGTTGTTCAGTCGCATAGTCGAGTCCAGTGAGTGCTCCCTTCTCATTTGGTGGCCAAAGTATTTGAGCTTCAGTTTCATTATCTGGCCTTCCAGGGAACAGTCAGGGTTGATTTCTTTTAGGATTGACTGATTTGATCTTTTTGCAGTCCAAGGGACTCTCAAGAGTCTTCTCCAGCACCATAGTTCAAAAGAATCTATTCTTCTGCGCTCGGCCTTCCTTATAGTCCAACTCTCGCAGCCATACATGACTACTGGGAATACCATTGCTTTGACCATGTGGACTTTTGTTGGCAGGGTGATGTCTCTACTTTTTATCATGCTGTTTAGGTTCGCCATCGCTTTCCTCCCAAGGAGCAGGCGTCTTTTAATTTCATGGCTGCAGTCACAGTCTGTGGTGATCTGGGATCCCAGGAACGTGAAGTCTGTCACTACTTCCACGACTTCCCCTTCTATTTGCCAAGGAGTGATGGGGCCGGATGCCATGATCTTAGTTTTTTTGATGTTGAGCTTCAAGCCCACTTTTGCGCTCTCCTCTTTTACTCTGAGCAAGAGGCTCTTTAGGTCCTCTTCACTTTCTGCCATTAGAGTGGTATCGTCTGCATAAACTGATTATTGTGACATAAAGAAAGTTATGCTAACTAAATGTTATATGTACACAAGTTAAAAGAAAACCTTAGATGCATAAAAATCTTATGCTTGCAGGCTACAGAAGATAAATAAAGAAACATGGGACCCACGAAAACTTGCAGGGGGGGGGAGGTCTCATTCCCTTTCACACTGTTTCCCTGTTAGAGAATGAACTGGATATTTGCTTTATGAATTATTTATTGCTACACACAGTGGACTGTGCACACACAAATAGGCTCAGAGAACTGTACACTTTAAGTCACCTGTTGTGATGTTACACATAGAAGGTGC